GAGACTCAGACAGACAGGTACCACGTCTGGTGTGTCCTCCTCCTTGTGGCAGACAGACTGCACCAGCACCGTCCTTTCCCTGGTCTCCACTGGGACGTCCTCCCAAATGTCCAGGGCGTCTGTAAGACCAGGACAGGGGTCTAAAACATATGATTACTGTAGATGCCTCTCAAGCACAGACCCAGACTTCTTCAACTCTGGTGGTGCATGCTGCTATCAAGCAGACTGTCTATGTGTCTGTAAAACACCAGCATGTTCAGAGCTAACATTGGTAGAACTAAACCAGTCTCACTCCAGCCTACTTCTTACTTGGGGAATATTTGTTCATTTGCTTTCAGTTCTTAAAAGTTCAGATGGGATTTTGTAATTGTTATCAATCCCATATAGGTTTCTGAGTTTCTGAACTGCCCTTGTTCAGGTGGGCTGCCTGAAGTGTTATCAGCAGAATGCTCGTTCTATGTGTGTCTGAAACTGTATCACTTCCACCTGTGTGTATTAGCAAAGCATGTTATTATGCTTAGAATTAAGTGTTATTAATAACAGTATTCTGTCTTGATGAAACAGCTTAGGCCTCTGTTTAACAGCAGAGGAATGCAGCTAAAAGGACATAGTAAAGCTGGGTTTATTTTAAACCCCGCTAATTAAATATGGTAAAGCATGGTTCTTCTCAGTCTGGGCGCAAGGCATAGGGTCAAAGGTCACCGTTTATTAGGCAGTTATGCAACACACGGGGTCAAAGGTCACCATTCATCAACCAATCAGGGACCGAGGTGGACATCAGGACTATACTTGATAACATCCTATCCAATCATCAACTGTGACTTCCTGCTTTGTAGAGGCAGACACCCAGCTCATTTCATTGGTTAGCTCACTGGCTCCTCTCTCCTCTCTCTAGCTACTCCTGCCTCTGACCCAGCCACGTGACTGCAAGCAGGACTTTAACTTTCTCCAAAGACGCCATTCCAGGAGAGATCGGAATTCAGCCCCAGCTATTCTCGCTGCAACAGAAGAAATCTTGTGTGTGGTGAAAACCAGTTGTTATTTTTGCCTCATTGATCACATTAAGACAGTTGGACTCTTTTTGTCGCCATCCTGAACATCTAAGCATATCCGGTAAAAAGCTGCAGCTGGGATTATTCACATTTCTCCCATCCATCTGACCTGTGGCCAGACCCAGGCACACAGCAGTGTACAGACTGTTTTAAAAGCCAAAGTTCAGCAAGGCGCCAACGTCCTTGCAGAGCTGTCCTTAGCAGCTCTAGGCAAAGCTCGCTCTCTCTGCCCCGGGACCCTCCCAGCACAGAGCAAGCACAAACTGGATCGCAGACAACACAGCCCAACCCCGTCTCCGGCGGATCTTTAAGAATAAAACCTCTATGTTCACGTTATAACTTTTGAGAGTTCATCCATTAATCCAAACACATTTGATAAAGTAGGTCACAATAGTAAATGCTTATTTATCATTTTTTCCAATTAGAAATTGAATTAAAAAAGGGATTAACTATTTGAGACACAAATGACTGAGGTGGGCAATACATTATAGTCGATATATTTTAACTCTGACATTACTAACGCTTATCTTTGTAATCCCTGGGTGACTAATCAACTATTCATATCAACCGATCGATTCGCAAATGTATTCTATTACTCTGCTTGGTTTGTTATGCATGTTGCACTGTCTGATTGTTACAATAAATTAAACAGCCTCACATCGCTGCCCGTGTCTGTTCTGCATCAACAGATCAACTTGTAAGAGCTATTTAGTCAGCAACAGCAGAATGAGAGGCTGCAGAAATGTTTGTGTGATAAGGTTTTACACGTCAGAAGAAGCACTTTGCATAGAAACCCGAAAGTCTGCACAAGCAGGCAGATCGCTTTGATGAGCAGTGGAGACGCTCAGCTGGAATAAAACCCAGCAGATAGCGTTCCCCCAGTACCTGGGCTGGGAACTGCTGACTGAAGAAACCTTATGTTATAAACCTTGAGGACCCCTTATTTTATCTGATAATTGGCAGGGCTATCAGACCAGTTAAGGCACTGGTTGTCTTAAATACTGCCACTGGGCTCACTGGACAGGAAGTGTGACCACGCGGCGCCCCCCCCGCCCTCACCCTGCAGGCTCTGGAGGCCGGAGGTGATGAGCACCACGACGACGGCCACCAGCAGGCAGCGGTTCAGCGTGACCCCGCCCCACGGCGCCTCCTGTTGGCCGCCCGTTGAAGCTGCGCGCCGCACTGACACACACAGACACGGGCAAGTGGAGAGAGACATGTGATTCCAACAACTGGGAGAAAAAGGGTGGAGACGAGGAACAAGAGCGTCTTGCAGACTTGGTACCTACACTGAGGATAGAACGAACTATAGCTGTTTCCCCTAGAAATTTTAAGTTTAAGAAAACTTAAAATTTCTAGGGGAGATTTGTTACAAACCCTCCTTAATTTATAAAAGAAAATACCCAGTGATGAAAAACCACAGGGTCAGCCAGCTTCCATATAAAATGCCGCACAGGTCCTGTAGAAGAAAAGACAGCGCTCTGACAGAAGTCAGAGAAAGAGAAGGAGCAAGACTGAGAGGTAGCTAAAGAGAGACAGCAGATACAGTATCTTCCAAGGAACGGTTTTCAGGGTTATGACAGTATATTTTAAGAGTGGGGATGAATATTAATTAGCTCCTGCTGTTTCATAATGCTGAGGGGGGCACAGGTCCAAATGAGAACTGTGATTTATCATTACAGTTTTGCATGTATTTCTGTCTGGAAATCAGATATGCAGGCAGAGGAGGTACCTGGGTGTGGCCTTTCCCTGGGTGGGGCTGGCTTGGGGGCTGGCTTGGGGGCAGGCTTGCTCTCCATGGCTTCCACAAACTCCTCCACCTCCTCCTGGAGGGGGGGGAGTGAGAGACAGAGCAGTAAAAATCCCAGATCTGCCAACCCACAGAAGGGGGTTCCCATAGGAAACTCCTAAAGGCGCTTTGGGGTGTGATAATTCTCAAGGACTCTGGCTGATAGGCCACTGAGCACTGTGGTAGAGGTCCCTGGGGGAAAGATCAAGGATCGCTGCTGGAGTCCTGTCCGGGTCCGATGAGGGAGACTCTAAGAGACGGGTCTGTGCACACTGAGGGTAGCCCAGCAGACCCAGACCAGCTGGAATCCAAGACACACACAGTGCCCAACTCCTCCAAGACAGCAGCAGGATCTGCGCTAATCAGGGTCTGAGATCAAGGAGCCTGGAGGCTCTTCACATGCACGGCAAGCAGGAAAAAGAGAAGACTTTTACCTCTTTGCTTTTCTGTAAAGTTGGGGCACCTGCAGAAAAACAAAAAAGTGACGATTTTCAATGCAGAGTTAGACTCTCATCCAAATTCTTCCTGCTGTGAGCTGAGTGCTCAGGAGAGAGTGTCCAAGGACCCCTCCCCCCCCACACACACACAAATAGCACACACAAACAGCACCCCCCTCCCCACCTACACACAGACACCTCAGGGGGAGCCTGCGTGACTCTCCCAGGCTGTGGGCAGGTTACAGGGGGCTGCAGCACCTTCGCTGGGAGGTGGCTGGCTGGTCTGGGACGAGGGCTCCTCTGGGACCAGCAGCTCCTCCATGAGCTCCTCGGGAACTATATCCCCCTCGAAGGTCTCGAAGGCGCTCTCCTCCATCGCGGAGCTGGGGGAGAGGGAGGGCCAGGGTGAGAAATGAGGAAGTCAGATTTATCCTCACCTTCAAGTCAATCAATCAATCAATCAAGGTTTATGTATCCAGGCACGAGCAGAACAGCATACAGTGGTGTTGTCGGCAATTAAATGCTTTATCCGTGATCTCGTTAAGAAAGATAGAAGAGTAGAAGGAGAGACGTTTATAGGGATTAGGTTACAATAAATAATACAATTGCTATTTACAATACAGTTACAGATTGTGGGAGACCTCCTGGGAAAAACTAAGGTTGCTGCTGGAAGAGGTGTTAGTGGGGCCAGCAGGGGGCGCTCACCCTGCGGTCCACTTGGGTCCTAAAGCCCCAGTATAGTGACGGGGACACTGTACTGTAAACAGGCGCCGTCCTTCGGATGAGACGTGAAACCGAGGTCCTGACTCTCTGTTGTCATTAAAAATCCCAGGGCGTTTCTTGAAAAGAGTAGGGGTGTAACCCTGGCGTCCTGGCCAAATTTCCCATTGGCCCTTACCAATCATGGCCTCCTAATAATCCCCATCTATGAATCGGCTACATTACTCTGCTCTCCTCCCCACTGATATCTGATGTGTGGTGAGCGTTCTGGCGCACTATGGCTGCCGTCGCATCATCCAGGTGGGGCTGCACACTGGTGGTGGTGGAGGGGATCCCCATTACCTGTAAAGTGCTTTGAGTGGATTGTCCAGAAAAGCGCTATATAAGTGTAAGCAATTATTATTATTATTATTATTATTATTGTGCCAAAGTAACTCAAGGATAGGGGGTATTTAGCGCTGTTCATGTGTCCTGAGAGTGCATAGTGACAGGAGGGTGCCGGTGCACCCTGCCAGTTCAAGTAGGTAGCCTATTCGCCAGCGGCTGTTTGGGTAACTGCAGGTGTCTGCTGTGGTTGGCTGTTTAGCAGTCTTATTGCCTGGGGGAAACCTGGTGTTCTTGGTCTGTATACTTTGGTTTCGTTTTCTGGATGGTAGTAGAGAGAACAGGTTGTGGTTTGGGTGACTGGGGTCCCTGAGGATAGACCTGGCCTTCTCGAGGCAGAGGAGACAGAGGAGACATGTTCCATGTTCGGTAGTGCGCAGCCAGCAGTGTTTCACCACCATCTGGAGTACTTTGTGCTCTCGGGTGGAGCAGTCACAACCCTTGTACAATCACAACTGCAAAGACACTTTGGACCCTCTCCTCTCACACTCCTCCTTCACACACCTTATAAGAGATCACTTTATTGGCCATATACAGTTTCTTGCATTAGGAATTTGTCTTTTTGCAGACGCCAGCTTGCTCTCCATGAGAAAACACAGACAGGGAGAGAAGCTGGGGGTCAGAGCGCAGGGTCAGCCATTTATACAGCGCCCCTGGAGCAGCTGGGGTTAAGGGCCTTGCTCAGGGGCCCAACAGAGTAGGATTCCTCTGCTGGCTACAGGATTTGAACTGGCAACCTTCCAGCCACAGTTGCAGAGCCTTAGCCACAGAGCCACCACACCGTCCAGAGACACTGCTGTCCCTCTCCTCTCACACTACCCCTGAATTCACACACTGAGACACTCCTGACTGGACCGGAGACACTGCTGTCCCTCTCCTCTCACACTGCCCCTGAATTCACACACTGA